CTAGCATATAAAAATAATGGAGGTACAAAAGAGAGGGTGTACAAAGATTATACCAAACCACGCTCTTGACAAGATCGAGAATCCAAGCGAAGCCTGCTTGCCTCCCACTAGACCTAGCCTAACTAGCTATGCTCTAGAATATGGTGGAGCTCTGAGGATAATTATGGTTTCTGTCTTCTCATATGACTTATGATTATTCCTGGGGGTGGGAGGGGCTGGTATATATAGCCTGGAGCGTTCAATGTGAGCCCTTAGATCAAACCGACTTAAAGAACGGTGTAGATAAAACCTAGGAGGCGGTGGAGAACCAACATTCGAAGGAGGGGCTGACAGGTGGGCCTAGGGGGCCGGGCGGCTTACAGGTGGGGCCGGCTAGCCCCACATGACAACCTCAGCACGGAGTCCTCTCGAGTCTTCTAGAACCTTCTGGTGTCTGTTTCGCTACGGATAAGCGCGATTAAATCTGACATGTGGGTCCACCTTGACAGTTTTCTGAATAAACCCTGCAGAAAATATAGATTCACCAAAACTCATGGAATTTATTAGTTTAAACCCCTAGACCTTTATTGGTGATTATATTTATGCCCTTATATATGTTATATTAACGGTTTTATAATGGTTGTTAACTACCAGCAACACAAGCCAAGGAACTAATTGCTTATCGCTTAGTTGCTTGGGCAACGGTAGAAGTCGAGCATAAGAAGGGAACTCATACTCGCGCGTGTAGGATGCAACACCTGGATAATTAACCACTAAAACCAATGAGAGTACAACTTGACTTACCTAACTAATCTGGCTAAGGACTAGTATCTCTAATATGATAATCTTGATGATAACTTGGATACCTTGCTCATGCGAGGGGTAGGTCGTCGTGAGTGTGGGATCTCAAACGACGTAGCTCATGGAGCAGTAAGGACCGTGTATTGGGATACGTAAGTTTGAGTAACCACCCATACAGACCACATGTCACGGATGGGGTGACAAGCCAAGTAACTAATTACGACCAGTTTATCCGTGAAACTGGCAAGGGGGTTAGCGTCGGTCAGGAATGTCTGGGACATTGACCGGTCAACCGCTCGAACCTTTCACCAAAAACTCAGGCTAGATTAGGGAAAGGTTGGAGACATGAGGCAACCCTTATCTCTGGTGCCCGAGATATGGAGGTTTGTCCCGTTTCTCCATGTGGGTACAGTTGTACACCTCTGTAGAGTCTTGAAAGCCTGGAGTCCCTCGAGACGAGACTATTCGGTTGTTCTTTCTTTCTATACCCATGGTAGCATGAATAATGGACTATGAGCACTTTGTTATAATGATGAATACCTTTACTTCTATGTTGAGCATAGCATGTTATAATTTTAAAGAACATCATTGCTTTCCGCACTCGTACAAACGCCTGATAATCACCTTATGCATCCACCAAATACTATATGTTGGAATTATGTCCTGCGAGTATGCAATGTACTCACGGTATAGCCGTTAAGTTGTTTTGCAGGAACGCTGTAGATCGATGGAGGTTGAGTCTCCATCACTGCTGCCTAGTAGCATCAGGGAAAGGCGACCCCGAGTATGCTGCACGTTAACTCCGTAGTCTTGTTCGAGTGACCTTGAGTGATTACTTTAGAATTGATTCTGGATCTTGTCTATTGGTTGGATCGGATCACGTAATTTATGTAAACTCTATCATGTAAGCCTTTCAGTATAAGTTATTTGGGCATTATTCATTAGATTGTGTCAGTTTGGTATGTGAACTGTTGCGTGCCACTCAACCTGATCCTGAAGAGGAGTTGCCTAGTGCGGTGCTGGGGGCGCGTGACTTGGTTTTGCTTAAATTGAGCACGTCAAGTGGATGACACTCGATTTAGGTGAAGTATCACGACGGGCACCCCACAGATGTGTTAGCGCCTGGACGTTTGGATGCCCGTGGCTGCTCTCTGTTTCCCGCTCTTGTTCCGTGCAGTGCGTCCTAGCCGCTCGGATTCCACATTTCTCGGACGACTCACCCCGACCCGCCCACGCTGCCCGCCCACACGCGAGGCCGTATGCTCCCCCTCCGTTCCCCGTCGAGCTTGAACTGTTGCGACAAGATGGAGGGAAGGGAAGGGAGGTGAGGGAGAGGAGAGGGTGAGGCACACGACGCAAGGAAAGCGCGAGGTAGGAGCTAAAGCCATGTGGTAGGCCGCTGTCCGTCAGCCACCGACGCTATTGTAACATGTGCAATACCGATCTACTTTTGAAACATCTAGATAAAATATTTGCAACATACGTCTGAAGACAGATAAAACACTTAAAATATGTGTCTGAAATAGTTGCAAAATAATTTAAAAATACTTGAAAAGCTATTGCAAAACATATCAACATCTAGATAAAACATTTGCAATATATGTGTGAAACATATGCAACAACCAAATAAGCACACTTAAAACATACTTCTAGAAAAACAGATGAAACATTTTGAACAGACGTTTGCAACATACGTGTATAACCATTGCAACATATGCAACATCCCGATCTACTTCTGCAACATCCATATGAAACACTTGCAATACCTTTGAAACATTTGAAACACTTGAAATATACGTCTGCAACATGCGCTTTTAGCAAAACCTGGTCGGCGGACGGACGAAGCACTACACAACGAGATCCAGCTGTGCGGTTGCGGTGGTGGTGGAGGAGGAGGAGGATGACAGCGAGGGGGCGGCTGCGTGGCCCCCGGTGAGCGACGGCGCTGGCCCCGGCGAGCGACACCTGCAGTGGAGGCGACGACAGGGTCGAGTAGGTGCGGCCTCGTGCGGTGAGGCGGTGGCGTTGTGCGGGCACCTGGGAGCTAGCCACGGCGGTGCAGCACGCCGTAGCGGTACGGTTGCGGTGGATGAGTTCGAGAATGGAGATAGAAGAGTAGAGAGTATTGTTTTTTAGCAACTCGAGTTGGTTAGTTGGATGAGAATGTTGGGCCGTTGGACGTTGAAGCCCACCAAGAAAAACATCCGGCTGCGCGAACGTCTGCTTCGCGGCGTTACCCACGCCCTAGCTGTCCAACGCTATTCGTCGAAACTCTCTAAAAACTCTTGTCCAGATTTAGGTGGTGTTTGGTTGGACCTCCTAAATTTTAGTCGTTGTCCCATCGAATGTTTAGACACATGCATGGAGTATTAAATATAGACTAATTACAAAACTAATTACATAGTTTGCGACTAATTTGCGAGACGAATCTTTTAAGTCTAATTAGGCCATGATTTGACACTGTTTTGCTACAGTAAACATGTGCTAATGACGGATTAGGCCCCGTTCGCGTGCCCTTAAACCCGGCTTGATCCGTTTATTTTTTTCATTCGGAACAGTGTTTTTCTCTCATAAATTCCTTCAGCATTCCTCCAATACATCTAATTCCTCCAGAATTCAGACAAGCGAACAGAATCTTAATTAGCTTAAAATTTCGTCTCGTGAAGTACTAACGAATTATATAATTTATTTTTTTATTAGTATTCAGACACCCCATACAACATCCTCTCAACACACCTACTGAATTTTAGTCGCCGAAACCTGACACCACCTTAGTCTCATCTCAAGAGAGTCACGGGCCTCGGAGGGAAACTGGCGTGGCCGCGTCGACGTTTTCACTGTGGGGTGACGGATCTTCATCGCCGGGCTAGGGCTGCCACCGTACGAGCGTGGCGCGTCCTTTCGCGGCCGCCCGGCGCAGGCCTCTCGTCGCGGTGAACACCCCAGGTGGCTGGACTGGGGGCCCCTTGTGTTGTGTGCCCCAGCTAGCAGTGGCTGGTGTGGATCTGCATCACCGGGCTAGGCCTGCCGTCGTACGCGCGCGGCGCGTCATTTTGTGGCCATACGATGCTCGTCGTCTGGCGCGGTGAGTGGTGTGTCTGGAGTGTGGGCCCCCTGTGCTGCGTGGCCCGCTTGGCGGTGGTTGGTGTGGTCATGGGCGGGGTATGCTGGCCAGGCCAGTACTATTTCGGCCGGTGGTTGTCGATGTGGCATTTCCGTGCTGGCAGTGGCCTCGACTGCGGGCAGCGTGGGCCGAGGCCGTTGTCGGCCAGCGATTAGCGTGGGGGGCGATGGTGGGCCCGAGGCTTCGGGAGCAGGCAGGCGGAGGCGCGGGCTGTTCGTCGTCGGGTTTACTATGGGCGCCGGATGGGGAGGCCGTTGTCGAGGTCTACGGCCGGTTCGTCGTAGGCCACGTTTAGTTGGAGGCCGGATTCGGCGTTACTGTAGAGATACTGTACTGTTTTGTTTTTATTTGGTAATAATTGTCCAATAGTTAACTAATTAGGCTTAAAATGTTCGTCTCGCAAAGTACAACCAAACTGTGCAATTAGTTTTTTATTTCGTTAACATTTAGTACTCCATGCATGTACCGCAAGTTTGATGTGATGGGGAATCTTCTTTTTGCATAGTGCCAAATTCAGAAAATCTGGGGAACTAAACATGCCCGTAAACGTTACGGCTTGTTTAGTTGGACCTCAAAGTCTAAAAAGTTGCTACAGTACCTATCACATCGAATGTTTACGGCCCGTGCATGAAGCATTAAATGTAGACGAAAATAAAAACTAATTGCACAATTTAGTGGGAAATTGCGAGACGAACGTTTTGAGCCTAATTAGTCCATGTTTGAACACTATTTGCCAAATAAAAACGAATGTGCTACAGTAGCCTCAAAATCCAAATTCACCCAACTAAACAAGGGCTTAGTAAATTTACGATATTTTTCTCTGGTATCAAATCAGCTAGTAATATTTTTTTATAATCCAGCCCAATAGTTGATTGGTTCGGTCGTCTGGGCCCACCTATCGGCGCTTCCCAAAGGAAAAACCTCAGCAAATAACAGCTGCCTCTAACGGTTCAAGTTCAATCCTCCCCTTTCAGGCCATTCCTTTACAGGTGCGTAAGCGGTCTTCCTTTCTCTCCCTTTCCTCGCTCCTCTCTGTTTGTGCGATTTCTCCCTGTCGCCACCATGGCAGGAGTGCGGGCCGTGGTGTGTAGCCGCCATGGCCAGGATGCGGGCGGTGGCTCCGCCATGTCTCTTCCTAGGCGCCTTTAGGGTCGGTGTGTGGTCGGCGGATGGCTTGTAGCCGCCATGGGAGGGGTGCGCGCGGTGGCTCTGCCGTGTCTTTTCCTAAGCGCCGTTAGGGTCACCGTGTAGTCGGAGGATTGTTCTGAGTCTGTTGCCTCATCATCGATGTTGGGGCGGTCCCATTGCGACTCCGTCCTCCGGCGGCGGTCACGGTGTTGAATCTAGAGTGGTGGCGGGCGATTTGTGTGGCCTCCGCATTCAGTTTTGAGGGAGGTTGCGCTGTGCTACGGCGGCGAGCATGTTCTTCCTCCGTCCTCTGGTGGCGGTCATGGTGTTCAATCTGGAGCGGTGGGGGCGATTTTTGTGGCCTCTGCTTTGAGTTTGGACGGGGGGTGGCTGCGCCGTGCTGCGGCAGCGGTCACGGTGTTCTTTTTGGAGCGGTGGGGAGCGTTTTGTGGTCTGTAGTTTGAGTGGGGGGGGAGATGGTATGAATGACCTGTGATTTTGATTTCCTTTTGGGGGTGGTGATTGTGGTGAGCTATGTTGTTCATCCATGATTTCTTCAGCTGCAGAGTGTTGTTCTTAGTTTCTTCTTGTGTTATGCACAGTTTCTATTGATGGATACTTCCTTCTTCCTGTTACTCTCTGATACATGCTATAATTTCGTTTTTCCCAGGTGTGGTTTCTGCTGAAAGTGGGTTCCTGTGCTAGGGAGTCCAAGGGGAGGGAAAAGAGGTTGAGGCAGCTCAGGTATGAATTTTTTCACATGCATTCCTGCTTCTGTTCAGTCGAAGTATGATGTGCCTTTGTGCATTGCCTTCTTGTGCTAGACGAAACTAACTGAATGACAGTTTTCCTTTCTTTTTAGTTGGGGGTTTGCGTTTTCTATATTTGTGTGTTCCTTGTGTTTGCTTTGAAACAAATATTCCGTTTGGGAAAAACTTGGCTTTGTGTGTGGAACTTTGGAACAGTTAGGATGACAGTGCCAGATGTTTATTGTGGTGCATCCTACCTGTCGCTGCTACAAGCTGTGGCTGTTAGATGTGTATTACCCTATGTGTCTCTCGTTTCTGAGGTTGCTGCGGATGGAGGTGCAGTCTATGGTGTTGAAATTGAGGTACCCCCTGCTCATCCCAATTGTTTCGGGCGCACGGTGTTTTTTTGGGCGTCTGAAAATTCGGGTGGCAGTGCTGGTTATGAGGAGGCTGCTCTGCAGGATGTTTCTTTCCTGCAGAGTATCTATGGGTTTATTGTAGTGGATTACAGCTTCCAAAGTCTGATGTTATATAGGAGCATCGCCCAGACGACGATTTCTGTTGCTGCTAGAGCTGCTGGCCTGGTTAGTTTGGTTTCAAGGGACACTGGGCGTAGCTGGGTCCTGCGTCCGGTCAGTAGCAGCTGTGAGCGCGCGGTCTCGGTCTTCGACCGAACGCTGGCAGGGTGCGTACGGTCAGGCTGACGTACGGTGACGTAGGCGACGCAGAGAAGTTGGAGAAGGACCGGACGCTGATGCTGCGTCCGATCGTGACCGACCGGACGCGTCCGGTTGCAAAACAGAGGCTCGGGGAGCTCTCTGGAAACGACCGGACTCTGGCTAGTCGACGTCCGGTCGTGCAGCAGCGGAGCGTCCGGTCGCAACTTGACCGTTGAGATCCAGTGACTGAGGTTGAACGGAGGCGACACGTGGCGTGCATCGCGCGACCAGACGCTGGGGTCCTGCGTCCGGTCGATACGACCGGAGCGTCCGGTCGTCTCGAGTTTTGCCCAGTAAAGGGGTAACGGCTAGTTTAGCCCATGGGGCTATAAATAGATGTAATGGTCGGCCTTTGGCCGGAAGCTGAGCACACTAGAGCCTTGGTGGCTTATGTGGTAGTGCTTGGGAGCCCTCCATCTCACATATGCTTGATAGTGATCATTCGATTGTGTGAGAGAGCGATTCTAGTGCGATTGCATCGTGAGGTTGCATCGAGTGGCACTAGGTGATCGAGTTGCAAGCCGGTGGTGCTTGTTACTCTTGGAGGTTGCCACCTCCTAGACGGCTTGGTGGTGGTCTCCGTCGAAGCCCGCAAGCTTGTGCGGTACTCCGGAGAAGAGCTTTGTGAGGGGCATTGTGCTCGCCCAGCGGGAGCCGCGAAGAGCAACTCTAGTAGAGCGTGTCATTGAGCTATCCTCACTTTCGGGGTAGGTTCTTGCGGCGCCCGACGTGCGGGCTTGACGGGTGATGCCAATTAGCCGTCGAACCACCAAGTGAGCGGTCGACACAACGGGAACTAGCGTGTTGGCAAGCACGTGAACCTCGGGGGGAAAATCACCGTGTCAACCTTGTTCTTCTCGTTGGTTTGCATCCTCGTTACACAAGCTTGTAATTACTTTCATATACATTGTGCTTGTGTAGTTGCTCTTGTAATTAGTTTGCTGGTGTAGCTTACTAGTTATCTTCTTACTTGTGTAGCATAGAAGTAGCTTCCTTGCGTGGCTAATTTGGTTCGTGTAACCTTGTTAGTCACATTGCTTAGTTTGTGTAGCTAAGTATTTGCGCTCTCTAATTTGGCATTGGTTGCCTTGTTATTGAGCATTGCTAGTGAGCTTAGGTGGTTTTGTGCTTTTGCTTACTAGCATGTGTAGAAGCTCCCTTGTTGCTTGAAGTACTAGTGGCATAGGTTTGTGTGACCTTACTTCTAGAATTGGTTAGGTAAGCGCTAGCTAGCCCGGCACCTTTGTTGCTTAATTAGTATCTTTGAAAGGTGCTAGAGAACATAGATAGAGGGGTGTAGTCTTGGCTAGACCGATAGTTTTAATTCTGTACTTGTTTCGGATAGCCGACGCGATTAATTTTAGAAAGGACTATTCACCCCCCCTCTAGTCCGCCATCTCGACCTTACAAATATCCCGATCTACTTCTGCAACATCCATATGAAACACTTGCAATACCTCTGAAACGTTTGAAACACTTAAATATACGCTTGTAACATGCGCTTTTAGCAAAACCTAATCGGTGGACAGACGAAGCACTGCACAGCGGGATCCGGCTGTGCAGTTGCGATGGTGGAGGAGGAGGAGGAGGAGGATGGCAGCGAGGGGGCGGCTGCGTGGCCCCCGGTGAGCGACGGCGCTGCCCCCGGCGAGCGACACCTGCAGTGGAGGCGGCAACGGGGTCGGGCAGGTGCGGCCTCGCGCGGAGAGGCTGCGGCGTTGTGTGGGCACCTGGGAGCAGGCCGCGGTGGTGCAGCACGCCGCAGCGGCGCGGGCGCGGCGACGAGGTTGCAGTGCAGCACGCCGCAGCGGTGTGGTTACGGTGGTGCGGTTGCGGTGGATGAGTTCGCGAATGGAGATAGAAGAGTAGTGAGTATCGTTTTTTAGCAACTCAAGTTGATTAGTTGGATGAGAATGTTGGGCCGTTGGACGTCGAGGCCCACCAAGAAAAACGTCCGGCTGCCCGGACGTCTGCTTCCCAGCGTTACCCACGCCCTAGCTGTCCAACGCTGTTCGTCGAAACTCTCTAAAACTCTTGTCCAGATTTGTTCTAGGCCCGCCCAAAGGCCGAATCAACCAAGCAGCCAATCCTAGCCGCAGGTCGCGGCACATGTACGGCCAACTCTGCTCGGTGCTGCGGCCGCCGACCGCCTCTCTCTCTAGATTCCAGCCGTGTGCATCCGTCCCAGCCTACTGGTGAAAGCAGGAGCCGAAGAGCGTAATCGGCTAATCGCGGCCACCCGCCCGCCAGTTCCTGATTAATTTTTCCTTTTTCCGAATCTGAAGATAGATCCGTCTTCATCTTGCCTTCGATTGCACGGTTTGGCACAAGCGACGGTGATCCGGGAGTAGTATGGCCGAGGCAGCGAACGGGAAGGAGGACGCCAAGAGGACAGGACTGGAAGGCACTGGCCTACCGCTGCAAGGTGGCTCCCACGGCAACCTTCGCAGCGCTGGCAGCGACCAGCAGCTGAGGCAGATGCTCGATTCGCTCAAATCCTCAAAGTCCCCTGTAAGTACAGTTGCTGCTCTGCACTCGCCGATGGAATGATCGAAACGGCCTCCCTTAGTATTGCTAAAAAATGTTTAGGTTGTGAAGGGAATGGTAGTGAAACAGAAAACAGAACAGCAAAATGTTTCACTTGTGAAGAGAATAATAGTGAAACAGAAAACAGAACAGCATTTGTAGTGTTTCCAGAACACGGATGTACCATTATTAGTCCAATAGAATTTTGATTTTCAGATGTTTGTTTTGACCAGGTCTGTTCTTTTGCAGGCTGTGATTAACTATGGTGCCTCATGGTATGCCCCTCTTGTCTCTTGCTTGTGTGGAGACGTTTTTTTTTTTTTGAAATAAGCTACATACGTCATAGTTGTATATATTTTTATAGCTCGGGCCTTAATCTCTAGGCTGCCTGATGGCTTGCATGCTAACATTTGTTCAGCTGAAATATGCATTCCATGCTTGAACTTTTTTAAAAGGTCTTGGAAAACTAGATCTTTGCCATGTAAAGGACAAGATCATAGAAGTCTAAAATTCTGCTTATACCGATGAACATATCTGGTGATTCAATTTGCTTGTCCACTTGATTCTGCATGATCAATCAAACTCATTCCTTCTTATACGTAGGTGCCGTGTTTGCAGCCAAATTCTTCCATCCTTCTGCAAGTTCAGTGATAAGTTCAAGAATCTTACTTTCATCTATGCGGACATTGACGAGTGCCCTGAAACAACGCAAAACATACGCTACACCCCAACCTTCCACTTCTACAGAGACGGAGAAAGGGTTGATGAGATGCTTGGCACAGGAGAAGAGAGGCTACATGATCGGCTATGGTTGCATTCTTGATTGAAGGCCTCTGTTTGATGAACCATATATGCTGAATGCAATTTTATGTTTCCCACCTAATTTCTATGTACCAACACAGTTCTATTGTCAAACCCAGTGTTTCGGAGAACTTTGTCTACATTTGTTAGCCATGGATAATTTACTGTTTGAGTGCCTGGTATCCGTGAGATTCTGTGTGTGTTTGTTGGGGTGGGGGTATTAATCAATGATTCTTCCAATTTAAGATCATATAGTTCTAGTCCTATTCATTCAAAAGTTGAGTGGTGAATACAACATATAACAAAGTTGGGTCATGGCAGTAACCATAGAAGGAAAAACGGCCACGGCTCGCAATTTCGATAACTGTCATCTGGGACACGATGGAAAGTGTTTAAAAACAGAACATAGCTGTCATTCAATTATCTATATGTACACCAGCTACATTGCACTTTCAATATGAGATTACGAAAGAGCATCCACCTACATGCTCCTTAAATTAGTATTACATCACAGATAAGTAAGCTATGCACGATAGCCAGATTTCAGATGTGACATTACAAATGCCTTCTTCTGGCACCAAAAAAAGGAGCAAATTACACGATCTATGAGATTTCATCCAAATCTACTTTATCCTAAAACAATTGGCAAATGTCCAATGCAAATTGGCCAGCACATACTAGCAGATGCTCCAACCAAATGAACACCATCAGTTAAAGGCAGTCAGCCCCCAAGAGAAATCAGCAATCAGTGGTCATGATGCAGCAACATTAGGCTCCAGAGATTTTTTCAGCTTTGAGGGGCCAGGTCTAGTTCGACTTCTGTTACGTTCTGCCTTAATGGATGCAATCACGGCATCTGCCCCAAGACCAAGGCCTTTCCTGCCAACTAATTTCACCCCCAGTTTTTCACAGAGGTAGTGCAACCTCATGTCATCGCCTCCTCTGACCTCCCTTAACTCCATAGCTTGCTGTCGTGATAGCAATGTGTAAACATAAAGCTGTTGTTGCTGGTTAAAGTGTGACTGGAGCTGCTGAAACAACAATTTGTTTGAGTGGTTCTGTTCCGTCTTTACACCTTCAGTTGCATTTTTCTTTCGTGCTGCACCTAATTCCACCTTTAGAATAGCTGGGGATTTCAGATCAGAAGCTTTTCCTCCAAAAATAACAGAGAAGCTTCCAAACTCCAAATCTGGTTGCCTAAACAAGTCCGTCAATATAGCAGCACAAGCCTGTGTGTTTGTCGATGGACCTTTGTCTACTTTACTCTTTGTTGCCCGGGCATTGGCATGCAGTGTGATGTTAGCAGCCTCCCGCAAACCACTGATAAAAGCACCATGCATTGTTGCTGGATAACGCCTCGTGGTAGCCTCACCAGCAAAGAAAAGACGGCCATCACCAACACTTTCGGCTAATATGTCATAGTCATCTCCAGAGGCCCCAACAGCAACATGAGAGTATGAACCTAGACTGAACGAGTCAGTGCCCCATCTAGTGCAAACACTCTGTAGAGGGTCCGGCACCTCAACCCCTTGTGGTTCATAGATACCTGTGGACACAACAAAACCCCAAGCATTTTATCAGGCAGGTTCATTATATGACATCAATGTCACTGTATATGCTTTAGGATTTATATGGAAGCGAATGGAATACAAAATGTCTTAAAAGTAACTCGTGACTTCATCAAAGGTGTTGAAATACTACCTTATGCAAAGTGTCACTCATAGAACAATGCAAACTTTTTTTTTTTGGTTGAAGGAGCACAATTTTGATTATAGAAATTATGCTCTCACCTCTTAGTATCTGGAGAACTGAGCTGACAGCATCAGTTGGTGGCATGGTTTCAAAATTGTGAGCAGCTTCACCAGCAACCAAGGCCATCAACAATGGACCACCAGCCACTGTTGCATAGCTATAGAACAGAAAGAACTCCCCACGTCACCTTGGATCTTCAACCAGATGCCCAAAGGTATCGAGGTCAGTACTCCAGAAAACATGTGGAAACAGCATTGATACCTTGTTCAACAATCCGAAGCCAAGCCTCTTGATACTATCAAGCTTCCTCTGTGGTAACTCCGGTACAAACTTGATGCCTCCATTTTTCAGAACCCCAAGTGGAACTGTGCACAATGCCATATCCCCTTCATACACCTGCCCTCCATTGACAACCACCTGCACCCCATCCCCTCCATACCTCATAGTGTGCACCGTCCTCTCGTAAACAATCGGTACATTCTCTGCCAGGGCCTGCACAAGTTTGCCATTGCCACCAGGCAAGAAGCAGTGATCCCCACCCATGTCATATGGATCATCCTGGTCCCAGAACGCAAGGCTTAGTCTAGACAGCAATCCTGCATTGGCATACTCAAGATTTGCGAGATGCCAATTGAACAAGTTCATCTCCTCCTGTGTAGAGACGCCCCCATCAGCCTGGCGCAGTGTCTCTAGAGCCGCCCCAAGTGAAACATCCACTGCCACCTCCCCCATGGATGCCCGCAGGTTGCTTGATTTGTCAAGAAGCTTGTTAAATGTAATCTCCACTTTCTTATCCACCTCTGGATCAACTGGTGATCCATCCGGTCGGTAGAGTGGACACTTGTCTCTAATTTTGTGCATTGGCAAGCCGAGTTGCTTCGCCACAATTCCTAGCGGGTTCCCAAATGTCCCGGTAAGCACGCTGCCGCCAAGGTCAGCAGCAGCCCAGCGCCCACCGCCTTCCATCTTCTTCGTGTACACACGGCCACCACACCTTTTGCGACCTTCCAGGACGATCACTTTGAACCCGAACGCCACCAGCTGCCGTGCAGCAGCTAGCCCAGCAAGGCCAGCGCCTACCACGATGACGGTGGTGGGTCTCGTGGGCTCCTTGGGTATTCGCTCCTTGATGGCTGGGGCGACGCCGAAATTGACGTAGCTATTTGAGACGAGGAAGGAGTAGGCGGCGGTGAGGAGGTGCTCGCAGTGGGGAGGGATGAGCGTCGCGAAGGGCTCCTTGGCAAGCCAGGAATTGTAGGTCTCGCGCCACCGGCAGAGGAGATGGTTGCGGATGAGGATGTAATTGACCTGCTCGATGCCGCCCACGTCGGAGACAACGCCCGCCTCGATCTCCTCGTCAGTGAGCGAGTCCGCCGGGAAGCCGGCGGTGAGAGCGGTGACGGCCTCCGCGGTCGGCTCCCGGTTGATCACTATGATATCGTCGGCGGCGGAGGCGGTGGGAGGTGGCTGGGAGGAGGACACGGGAGAGGGGGCGGGGGCGGCGGGGGACCCGGAGGGTACTTTGCGGCGGAATCCGGTGCGCTTGCGCTTGTTGGGGAAGGCGGGATTGGGGAGGACAAGGGTGGGGTTCGGTGATGGGGTGGAGCTAGGATCTGGGGCAAGGGAGGAGACGAGGGGGAGGGGAGCGTAAGGTGGCGCCTGCTCGGACATGTTCGCCAGCAGCGAGGGGCTGGGGCGGCAGCGGCAGTGGCACCTGCTCGATGAATCGGAGATTTAGACGGGGCCGCCGTGTAGGTGCAGGCGAAGAGCATGGGGGTAAAACGTAAAAAAGTCCTTTTCCGCCTTCAGGCTAAGGATACGTAAATTGTCAGTTACGCCTTCTAATGTAAAGTTCAGTCTACAGAGATCACAAGTCACAGACATCCAAGGAGGTTCAAAGGAGATAGAGTGTACATTCACTTCATTCAAACCCTGACTTCTTCTATCTAGCACATAATTTAGCAGAAACTAATACAGAGGAAGTTTCAACAACTGATCTTAGGGAACAACATATCCATGCATGACAGAAAGTTCTTGTATTAATTGCTTTGGCAAGCAAATCTGAAGATATATACACATTTTTCACCATCGAATGGCCCTTCTCCAGTCCAAAGAACTAATCAACGTGCAAGTGACTCTGGCATGTTGAATTGGCCAGGGCAGACTACAAGTAATACTGACAACAGTACGCTCAACAACTACATTGCGGCAATACTCTTGTTGACAGAAGTATGGGCCATCCTCAACATTGTAACTTCGCTACTGTTTGTGCGTGGTTTGCCATGATTCTCTAAACTATGTCTGGACGAGAAGGGATCCATGAAGACACCAAAGAACGAGATAAGTGGATCTGCGGGTGCACTGTCAATGGAAAGCTTCAGGTACCGAGATTCAACGACTGGAAACAGTAGCAGCCTCTTGTACGAGTGTCGTGCCTTCAACAATTGTTTGCCACAGTTCATCTATGAGGATAGCTACATGAAACTCAATAACACGCTGCCCCAGTTGTATAGGCTCCTGGAGCTGGAGCATGTTGAAGGAAGTAGATTGCCCAAGGTCGAAGAGCATTTCCCAGCAGGTTTGCCCTTCCTGCGGAGCCCAGTAGGAGTATATGCCATCTTCAAGCACTTTGGATGGTGCAAACTGCTGGGACAGTGGCATTAGCAGCAAAGTTTTGAGAGAAAATTGCACGCCGAATCTCAGTGAATTCCTGAAGGACTTGTATGTCTTCATTGGCAATGAGGCCAGATGAATTGGGAGGGACATTCAAAATGAGGAGACAGTTTCTACCAACTGATTTGTAGTATATGTCAAGCAGAGTTGTTGCATTTTTTGGTTTCTCTGAGGCATGCCAGAACCAACCTGGTCTGATGGAAACATCACATTCTGCAGGAACCCAGTGTTGCCCAAAAGGATCCCCACTGCGTGAGTATCTGGCGATAAAGATAGCATTTTTTTAGTCAGACTTAAAAAAAAAAACCCGGCAGTTTAAACTACCGGTCTATGTATTAATGGAGTAAACACATAAATACAAAACCGACAAACACACATACACCACCACCACCCACCCACCCACACGACCAAAGCAACAATACGGAAAAACAACTACAACGAAAGCCACCAGCGAAACCGCAACCGCAACGGCAAACAAGAGCTGCCCTGCCCACCACAGCAACAACCACCAGGGGGCTCAGCTAAGCGACATAAAAGCAAAATGCTCATCAATAACAAACGACCTGTACTGTATCATCTAAATTCTATCGGATCTCTCTCAAGAGACAACAACAAACAAATCTTCTCTTTCATCAAACATCACTCAATGCAGAACTTGAAGTTCATTGAGTTGCCATATGAGATGTCACTGACATCGGGTTATGTCACATGTAAATTTGTCGTGGCCAATGTTGGCATACAGAACAACTAACAAAGGTTAACTAGAGTTTTAATGAGTTCTAAATTCTATGACTAAATAAGTCCATACTCTTATAACCCATTAGGCTCTCTCCATTCCCTGATGCAGTGCAACCTCCATGCACCAAATCAGCGAGTCTACTTTCGATTTCAGAACTATGTTGTTACAGGACCATACTAGATATTTAACTTGGTACATACATTGCGTTAGACACTTTCTGACACACAGCCACCTCTAAGTAATGCTGTACAAATGACCCAAATGCATAAAGTATCATTCTTACCTTCAAATAGAAGAAAACTACAACGTTTGTTTAATCATAATATTGTGGTTATCTAATTTTGCAAGGGTATGCTCAAATAAGTCATCATTTGCAATCGGAGAAGATAGTACCATGCTTCACATTAAAAGGTTAGTAACTTTAGAGTGCGTTCAAAGCAACAACTGAATAGCTGCCTTGCTCCAATAAATATGCAGTCATAACTGAAATATTCACTGCGTCAAACTAAAAGGCTATGTCTTTTTTTTTTTTTGAGGAAACTGGAGGAGCCGTAGCTTCTACAGAGATTTTTAATAAAAGTAAAAGAACAGGTCCGTAGGTCTGCAAGTTACAACAGGGTTCAAGAAAAAAGGCTATGTCTTTCAAACACATAAAGATTGCCTCCTGGTGGATTAGAATATCATGTTTTTAAATAAAAGGAATAGCTAGCTATAGTTCTCATCCATGCTAGAATCTTGATACAGGTAAATAGTATAGCTTATGTGATACTAAGCTGAAAAACGACAAGACAAAACTAATCATCATTGCATTACTTACTCAGCAATGGTATGCCCAATTGTCACGGAGCTCTTGTTGAAGGGAGACCAGCAAGTATAGCCTGCGACTCCTGCCTCATCTCCCACCCATCTAGTGTCTGGTCCAGCATCTGAGAAGATAACTACCCTTTGTTGTAGCTGATGTATAAGTGAAAACCAGGCATCAAACATATAAATCCATCTTCTTGGCATCGCCCTTTGCACCATCTAGCCAGACTTCCTCTACATCTCCATACCTATTTGAAAGCAGAGTCATTAGATTATCCTAAATACAGAAAATATATAACTGAGTGTGCACTATGATGAGTCATGAGTATAAAGTATATGAATGCATGCTGCCCAAATACTACTATGGAATCTGCAATGTACTATTTCTTTTTTCAATATTTCTAAGAATGCAAAGTAATGCATGCAGTAAACCGCAAATCAAGAATGATTAGCCACAACAAAAGCCAAATTTTTTTCTTAGCATCCGGCACCACAGTTAATCACTGATGGCTTCCAAATCGAAGATGTCATCTAGGAAGTAGACCAGTCAGCTGTTACTGCAAATTTCTGCAACTGAACAAGTAGAAGGCCGACTTTTTTAGTTTCCAGTTACACAACCACATCAAGATCAACCTTCACATCATCTGCATCGCAAAATTCAGAACTTCGCCTGCAAAAGCTTCAATGACAATCATAAAAGCAACCATCAGCAAACCTGGTCAGCAGTTTCATCATCTGTCCCATGTAATGCTCGTTGTACGCGATGGTGTCCCCGTACACCGGCTCGTGGCGATCCCACGGCGAGAGGTACAGCCCCATCCCGATCCCCTCCGCGCGCGCGGCTGCGGCGAGCTCGGCGACGACGTCCCCAGCCCCGCCCCGCCACGGCGAGGCGGCCACCGAATAGTCGGTCAGTGCCGACGGCCAGAGGCAGAAACCGTCGTGGTGCTTGGCCGTGAGCACGACGCGGCCGAACCCGCCCTGCGCCGCGACGCGCGCCCACTGGCCCGCGTCGAGTGCCGAGGGGGCGAACACGGAGGGGTCGGCGCGGCCGGTGTCCCACTCGGAGTCCGTGAAGGTATTGGGCCCGAAGTGGAGGAAGAGCGCCATCTCGGAGAGCTGCCACCGGAGCTGCGCGTAGGACGGGACGGGCAGGACCGGGAGAGGCGGCGGCGTCGCGGTCGAGGAGGCGGTGGCGCCATGGGCGCAGAGGAGTAGGTGCGCGAGCAGCAGAGGAAAAAGTGCTGCCATTTTCGTCAGAGTCAACTGCTTTTTCTGTCACTGAACTGGAAAAGAAGAACGGCGAGACAAACAAGTGGAAAGGGCCAAAGGGGAATGGTGAACAGGCTATGGGTTTTCTTTCATTTTTGAAGTGCTCAAAAGTTGAGATATCGGGGGACAAAAGCACAAAACGTCAGAGAAGGTGAGGTGAAGACGTGGAGTACCGGCGTTCCGCTGCGCTCACGGGGTAGACAGACGACGGGGACAACAAACCAGACCACTCACTCGTCGCTCCCCCTCCCCTCTACTCCGCAAGCTTCCCGCGCGAAGAATGTGCGGGTGCGCGGCCCTCGTCGCCGGCGGCCGGCTGCCACCGCCCGCCCTCCCCCGCCGGCTCCGCCGCCGCCGAGGGAGCTCCGTCCGGGCAGAGGTCTCGTCAGGTGGCGAGTCCCAGCAGAAGAAGGTCGCCGTCGCGGGCGCCGGCTGGGCCGGCCTTGCCGCCGCGCATCACCTCGTCAAGCAGGTTGGCCTCCCGTGAATTGTAGCTCGTGCGTTCGTGTACTTGTAAACGTGGCGACTATGTGCAAATTTATGAATTACAATTTGTTGTGATGATCAGGGATACGATGTCACGCTTCTCGCCGCGGAGAGCGGCCCAACCGAGGAGGTTGGCCTCAGAGGTATGTCAACCTTCAGTATACGATATCCGTTTATATGTTTCGATTCGGTGCCAGTTTTGTTCCAGTAGTTCGCTCATCGTGGCGCTGCACATAGGATTCTGGCATCCGTACCGCAACATCTTCGCTTTAGTCGATGAGCTGGGGATCTCGCCTTTCACGGGCTGGAATAAAGCAGCCTACTATTCTGCCGAGGGCGTTGCTGTAATTTCTCTGCTTTATTTTTGTGCGCTCACATGCTTGTGCATTGCTGCAATGGATTATCTAATGAATAGATTTTTTCTATATTTTTTTTCGATTTCTTTTTCGGTGGATTATTACTTAAAATGGGTTTAGCCAGAAATTCCTTAGTCTGTAGCAAGTGTCACATTGTTTTGCATGGGGCTATTGTGTCTCGATTTAAAACATCTTCTATATGCTAACTCCCCTCCCTCCTGAATCCTGATTAAACTTAAATTGTTATGATCACCTTGCAGGTTGAATTTCCCATATTTCATAACCAGCCCCGATTACCAGCTCCCTTTGGAGTCTTTGCATATCCAGAAGTAAGTTGTCCTTAGATCTTATATTGGTTATCAGTTTATCCGATTCTAAATTAGTAATAATAGCCTGAATCATCTTTGCAGTTCCCTAATCTCCCTTTGATTGATAGGCTGACATCAATTCCTGTCATGACTGCAGGTACAGTACCGGAGTTCAACTGTTAATCTTTTGTTAAAAATCAGCTGACTTATGTGTTGCTTTGCTCCAGTCATTGACTTCGACAACACTGACACTGCTTGGAGGAAATATGATGCAAGTAAGGACTAAGGAAGTTTCATTGTCTATCCAGTTAGTTCAGACTAGAGTACGTGCCACTTGTACTACATGTCTTCATAATGAGTTATCTTTCTCAAATTATTGTTGGTATCTTCCTCTGTAGTGACTGCAAAAGAGCTTTTTAAGATGTACGGTTGTTCTCAAAGGCTCTACAAGGAAGTCTTTGAGCCAGCTATTCAGGCTGCCCTGTTTGCTCCTGGCGAGCAATGTAGTGCAGCTGCAACACTGGGGATGCTGTACTATTATATGCTGTCTCATCAGGTTCTATGCTCTTGTACATTATAAATCATTTTTCTCCAGATAATACTTTCTTAAATGAACATTTATCATCTTACTGTCTCTTTGTAGGTTTAGTTTTTATAAATGCATGCCCTATCTTGCAGGAAAGTTCTGACTTCTTGCTGTGCCGTGGTGAAGTAGAAGAAAAAATTTTCTCTCCTTGGCTGCAATCGTTGGAGCTTAAAGGCTTAAAATTTGTAGAAAACAAAGTTCCAACAAGTTTCACTACAGATGCGGATACTGGATGCATCTCTGCTATTGTCTGTGGTGACGATGTATATGAGGCAGATGCATTTGTTTCAGCCATGGGACTCTCTTCTCTACAATCCATCGTCAAAAACAGGTAACACCGTATATGGTCACGCATGAGTCCTGGGTCAGTTTTGCCTTACCTTACCTTACTACATTCGAGTAACGTTGGAAGTCAAGATGGTAAGGAAATATAATCTTGTAGCAGTAGCACTTAAAGGAGCCATAAGTTTCACAACCTGAATTCTGCAATTAATATATGTGCTTTTCTGACATGTAAAGTCCATTCCTACGGTCTGATCGGGAATTCAGGAATCTTCTTCACTTATCTACAGTCGACGTGATCTCTATAAAATTATGGTTTGATAAAAAGGTAAGCCAGTATGCACTCCGTTTGATTATTGTTCACACATTGTGCCCCCAATATAATTTTATGAAATCCATTTACAGATCACAATTCCAAAGGTTGCCAATGTATGTACTGGTTTTGATGATTCGTCTGGCTGGGCATTCTTTGACCTTACCTCAATACATGATGATTATTATGAAGAATCAACAACAATTGTGGAGGCTGAATTTGTATGTTCTGGCCACCTTTATCAATTTGAAAACATACAACATTTTCAGCCAGGATGTACTTACTCTTGTAACTTATTTTCCCAGTATAATGCTAGCCATTTGATACTTGTAAATGATGATGATATTGTCTCTGAAGCTTCATCACATCTTATCAAATGCATACAAGATTTTGAGGGTGCTACTGTGATAAGATATTCAATCAGAAGATCTCCTAATTCTGTAATCAACTTTCTTCCAGGTGAATACTTAAAGGACGACTATTCTTGATAGTTTCCTGTCTATAGTAATAAACAAGTTATTGTTAACCATTATGGATGATTGATAATGCTATACTCTAACATTTCAGTGCATATTGTCCTATTGAAAGGTAGTTGTAAATTAATGCTGTGAATCTGTGATAAGGATCAAGAATCATAACAATAAAATTATACTTTTGTAGCATATGTACATATCAGTACTAGTTTAGAAATATGTTGTTTTAGAGGAATATTTAATTTGATACATGAGGAAATGCATTGCAGGCTCCTACAAGTACACACTGAGAGGATCAACTTCCTTTCCAAATTTGTTTATTGCTGGTGATTGGATTGTCAACCGACATGGGTCCTTTTCTAAAGTGAGACATAACATTTCAAAAAACGATTCAGAGTGATGATAAAAAGTTGTATTTATGGGTTCATATTTTCCTATGCTAGGAAAAAGCATATGTGACTGGACTTGAAGCTGCTAATAGGGTGGTAGACTATTTTGACACCGGGGACTTTGCCAAAATAATTGCAGTTGAAGGAGATGAGCCCCATATAGAGACATTGCGTAGTCTCAACAGAAGACTCAATGAACTGAAGTCACAAATTCCATTCTCAGAATTCTTTCTCCAATAATTTGGTTGGGTCAATAATTTTGCTGGGATTTTCCTAAGTCTGTTGACCAATGCCCATTGTTGTAGGGCCCATATGTAAAAAGGTCAGCCAGTTCTCATTTTATTTGCTTTAAATATTTAAAACAAAATACTCTCTTCAATCAAAATGTATGTCATTTAGCCTTTTCAACTTTCCTCTAAATCTAAGGTCACCCTAGAACTTCTATGCATCTTTTACCCTTTTCCTCCCTCTTTGCCCCTGAAATAAATGAGTCATCTTTTACAATGCACTATAAATGAAGGGCACTGCGGTCATTTAATCTACTTTCTTAATCCTTGTGCACAAGTCTAAAACGATCTACATTTGGAATTTGAGGGAGTATTTCTTCTGCTGTGTGCATTGGCCAGCCAGTGGCCAACCTTTGGCCTGAGATCATGTGTTCCGGGTTACTTTTGTGAAAGAGTGAATGAATAGTCTAAAAAAGGCTATATAATATTCTACTAAAAAATAAGAAAATGTGGGTTGAGGGCACCAATAACTTTTTATACGCAGCAGCAAAGGTTAGTTTGCAATTTACATGGGAAAAAGGATACACTATCTCCCCAGCGGTAACTTATATGGATTCAATGGAAATAGGGATGGTTATGTAAACTTTTTTTTGAACGTAACATGGATATGTAATACCGGTGTTAGCTACTTCTCCGATGGCTTTCAATTGCTTCAGGTGAACAATACCTAACAGAAATTACGTCGTCATATTGCTGTATTTGTTATTATCTGCTGACCCTGCAATAACATTTCTGAGCTCACATGCTGCACCCATTATGGTTTATCATGAACTTTGTAATTTTATTCAAGCATGTGTTTTCCTTTTCTGATCCTAATTTTGAACATACTTATTTTAAATAAAGCTTCACAAAATGTACCATTAGTGAAATTCAATTGCAGCAGGATTAGTGCCAGTTTTCTGGTAGGCTATATGTCTTCTGCATATGTATGATTCCATGAAGTCTGAGCATTATTTTTTGAAGTAAACTGAACATTTTCTCTCTTGTTGCATGTTCGGTTAATAATAGCTGTACATACTTGTCTCGGACCATAGCTGCATAAGCAACTTGTTCTAAGTTAAACTTGCATTGTTGCTTGTACTTGCCATATTTGCTGAAACATATATATACAACCTCTTCCATCATGAGAACAGAGTTTTCTCAGGTATAACTTCCCTTCCTCATCATTTCTACAAACTCTTCATAGTCGATTCTCCCATCCTGTGAATTCAGAGGGGGGCGATTGTTAAATCTATGCAAATGGATTGGTTAGCAGCAAGAATGTGCTCACCTTATCTTTGTCAACTTCATCCAGTACTTCTTTAATGCTTGCTTCATCACTAATTCCATACTCCGCCATGGCTTGTTCCAGTTCATCTCTTGTTATGTACCTGTGGTTGTTATGTATGTTATCTCGGTTTAATAATATTAAACTTTTTTATTTTTTCGTAATTGAGTGTAACCAAGCAAAACGATATTATGTGGCAGTAGCATGTATTGAGCATTGTTAGTTTGTTATA